CAAAACAATAACAAAACAAACAAAACCCCTTAATTTCTTTTTTAAAAAGATTTATTTATTTGTGCTCATTGGTGTTTTTCCCGAATATATGTCTGTGTGAGGATACATGATCCCCTGGAACTGGGGTTACAGACAGCTGTGAGCCGCCCTGTGGGTGCTGGGAATTGAACCTGGGTCCTCTGGAAGAGCAGCCAGTGCTCTTAACCCCTAGGCTATCTCTCCAGCCCACACCCCTTAATTTCTATTGTATGTGTTTGTCGTTTGATTATCCATTCATTCAGCAATAAACACTGGGTTACTGCTACACTCTATTTATTGTGAATAATTCTGCTTTGGACAACTACCTCTTAAGACCCTGTGGTCAATCTAACTGTTCTAGTTAGTACAGTGAAATACCTGAAGCTGGGTAACTTAATAAAGAAAAGATGTTTATTTTGGCTCACAGCTCTAGTCCAAGGTTCAAGACTTAAATCTGGTGATGGCTGCCTTGCTGACAGAGCATCACATCAGTACAGCACATAACATGGCAAGACACAGGGACCAGGCATGGGTGTCTCCTCTGGTCTCTCCTCCTTACTCAATTGCTAGTGGTCAACCATAAGGGCCATCGGATGATCTTAAGTAAAGCCCAGTCACCACCCCCAAGCATTACAGTTGGATTAAATTTATTCTTTTAATAGTTTACAGTGACACACTAAAGCCATAAGGGAGTCCTAGTGTTCTGCTTACGGTTTGGAGGATTCTTACCAGAAGTGGAACTACTGATAATTCCATTCATTTTAATTTTTTTTTTCTTTGGAGCTAGGGTCTTGTTGTGTAGCCCAACTTGACTTCAGACTTAGAGTGATCCTCCTGTCTCAGCCTCTTGAGTACATGTGCCACAGTATGTGTATGGAGGTCAGAGGACAGCTTTTGAGAGTCAGTTCTCTCCTCCCACCATGTGAGGCTCAGGAATTGAATACAAACCATCAGACATGATGGCAAGCACAGTTACTCCTGACCATCCTGCTACCCACCCCACCCCACACCACCCCACACCACCCCACACCACCCCTGCCTTGGTTCCTTGTGCTTAGGATATCCTATCTAACATAGCCAAAGAGCACAAAGTTTCTTTTTGTATCATAAGTATCTTATACTTTTAATTACTTAAAAAGTTTAAAGGTTCATTTTTGCTTTTAATTTTGTGTATGTCCATCTGTGTGTGGGTGTGCATGCATGTGAGTGCAGTGACCATGGGGGCCACAAGGCAGTGTTAGGTTTTCTGGAGCTAGAATTACAGGTAGTTATAAGTCATCCAGTGTGAGTGCTGGGGTTAAACTCAGGTCTGCTGGAAGCAGCAAGTGTGCTCATAACTGCTGAGTCCAGTTCCTTATAATTCACATTTTTTTTAAAGCTTTGTTTATTAGGCATACAATGTTCTGCCTGCATGTATGTCTGCAGGCCAGAAGAGGGCACCAGATCTCATTATAGATGGTTGTGAGCCACCATGTGTTTGATGGGAATTGAACTCAGGACCTCTGGAAGAGCAGCCAGTGCTCTTAACCTCTGAGTCATTTCTCCAGCCCCCATTATTATTTTTTTAATATCCATTTATTTGTTTATTTACTTTGGTTTTTTGAGACAGATTTTCTCTGTAGCTTTGGAACCTGACCTGGAACTTGCTCTGTAGACCAAGCTGGCCTCAAACTCGCAGAGATCTGTCTGCCCCTGCCTCCGTAGTGCTGGCATCAAAAGTATTCACCACTGCCACCACTGCCTTGGTTTTTTTTATTTTTTTGATACTGTGTCTAAGTAGTAGCCCTCAATGGCCTGGGACTCACATCACGCTGCCCTTGAACTCAAAAGATACCCACCTCTGTCTCCCAAGTGCTGAGATTAAAGACCTATACCACCACACACAGCATAATATAAATTCTTACATTTAGGTCTCTTTTTTTTTAGACAGAGTCCCACGTAACCCAGGCTGGCCTTGAACCTCTGATCCTCCTGCTTCTAAATCCCAAGTGCTAGGATGGCAAAATGTGGTGCATCACTTGGTGGGTCTTTGATTCTTTGTAACTTTGTTTGGGTGTTTGGTGTGTATGTGTTTAGTATTGGTGATTGAATCTAGGGCACTGAACATTCCAAGAGAGTGCTCCACCACTGAACTATCCCCAGAGCTCTCTTTTGGGGCTTTAATTAACTGATTGATGTTTTTGAGACAGGGTTTCTCCTTGTACCCCTGGCTGGTTTTGAACATGACAATCCTCAGCTGCTTGAATGGCTTCAATTATTAGCTAGAACCACAAGACCTGGTTACGGTAGACTATTTTCTTAGTTTCTTTTGTATTTTGAGACAGTCTCACTATGTAGTTCTGGCTGTCCTGAGCTCTTTGTGTAGACCAGCCTGTCCTCAGATTCATAGAGCTCTCTGCTTGCCTCTGCTTTCCAAGAGCTAGGATTAAAGGTGTGTGCCATCATGCCTGCCTCTTGGTTTTATTTTTGTGTTCATGTTCCATTGTGTACACACACAGTTGGCTAAATGTGTTTTGTTGTTTGCTTTTTGTTTGTTTGGTCTTGGAGATTCTACTTAAGGCCTCAGGTGTGCTAGGTAAATGCTGTTGCTCTGAGCTGTCTCCATCTCCAGATCTAGTTGGTTTATGTATTCTGATTTGGGGGAGGAGATAGTTGTAAACTGGTACTATCTACTTACTGTTTTTTAATTATATATATATTTTATATGTGTGATTTGCCTATATGTGTATCCATGTGCCATGTGTGTGCCTGGTGCCCAAAGAGGCCAGAAGAGGGCATTAGATCTCCTGAGATTGGAGTTATAGACAGTTATACCCTGTCATGTGGGAGCTTGAACCTGGATCCTCTGAAAGAGCAGCCAATGCTTTTATTACTATGAGATTTACTTTATCTTTATTTTTTATATATGTGGGTCCTCTGGAAGAGCATCTAATGTTGCGCTCTTCACTGCCCAGCTGTCTTTCCAACTCAGTAGTGTTTAGTTTTAAATGTGTGATAGAATTCATTAGTGAAGCCATCTGTGCTTGGGCTTTCCTCCGTGGTGGGTTTTTTACTAATCTCATGTTGGTATAAACTTTTGTAGTATGGGGCTTTTCAGTAATATTCGGCTCTTCAATAATACATTACATGCTTATGTTTGTATTGTGTGCTTGTGTAGTGGTGTACAGGTGTAGAAGTGTGCATGTATAAAGGTTTCTATGTGTAGAGATGTGCATATGTCATGTGTAGGGTGTGCGTGTGTAGAGGTTTCCATGTGTAGAGGTGTTCGTTTGTAGAGGTGTGTGTGTGTGTGTGTGTGTGTGTGTGTGTGTGTGTGTGTAGGGTGTGCGTGTATAGAGGTTTACATGTGTAGGGTGTGTATGTGTAGTGTGTGCATGTGTAGAGGTGTGTGTGTGTGTGTGTGTGTGTATTTTTTTTTTTTAATATAGATTCTGGGGATGGAATTTAGGTTCACATATTTGCAAGATGGTACTTTACTGACTGAGCTGTGTCCCCAGCCCAACACTAAAAGTGAAAGTGCACAAACCATGGAAATAGGTAGACCTAGGTTCTGCTGTACCTGTGACTCCCAGTGTCCCCTCCTTCAGACTGCAGGGGAGGCGGATACACTGTTAGGGACAGGGGTGCAGAGAGCTTAGGGCCTATCGCCAGCATCTGAACAACTTTAACAATGACTGCTGCTTCTTTCTCCTCTACCTTTTGGCAACAGGGCTCTGTGCCATTTCTGGTCAGTACCACCTCTGGTACCACCGTGCTAGGGGCCTTTGACCCCCTGGATGCAATTGCTGATGTTTGCCAGCGTCACGGATTATGGTTACACGTGGATGTGAGTGAGACTCGGGTCGAGGGGGTAGGGTGGGCTCCACTAAAGCCAAGACCCATGCTGTTCCTCCTGCTCCACAGGCCGCCTGGGGTGGGAGCGTCCTGCTGTCCCGGACACACAGGCATCTCCTGGATGGGATCCAGAGGTGCACACAGCCTCCTCCCGAATCCCTCCCTTCAAATCTTTGGTGCTCACAATAGTCACAAGCTAGGGAGCCTGGGGAGGGCTGGAATGAGGAAATGGAGTGGGTGAGATAGGAACTGGGAAGATGATTGATAGAGGATTAGAGGGAGGGCAGGCTTGGGAATCCTTCCTGACTGCTGGGGAAGGGGTAGGCCCTTTACTGGGTGTCTGGAGGGAAGAAGGCTCTGCTAGGCAGTTGGAGGAGAAACCACTGACCCAGCTTTGCTTTGTCTCACCCAGGGCTGACTCTGTGGCCTGGAACCCTCACAAGCTTCTCGGTGCAGGGCTGCAGTGCTCTGCTCTTCTTCTCCGGGACACCTCGGTGGGTTTGCCCTCCTCCCAGACTCCATCTTCCCAGCCCCCCAGCCCCCCTTTTCTCTATGGAGCCCTAGCTTCTCTGTCTCACCCAGAGGAATCGGGGTCTGAATGTGCTCCTTTTACCCTCCCAACTGAAACCAAGACTCTGTGACCACCTTAACCCTGTGTTGAGCTCCCATGGACCCAGGGGCTTGTTTTCATGTGACGGAATGGGTTTCTAGCTTGTAGTTGTCGTCAGAGGGGTCTTGGGCAGAATTTGGGAAGAGCTCTGGTGTTGGGAGCAACCCAGAGAGAAGTCAGGGTTGGCTGGCAGCTGTGCTCAGTGCTGCTAGCTGCAGGGAGAAGACAGGGTGGGCTCAGTTGAGACCCCTCCATGTAGCACTGTAGGAAGGTCTTTGACAGCTTCCTCCCCACAGAACCTGCTCAAGCGCTGCCATGGGTCCCAGGCCAGCTACCTGTTCCAGCAGGACAAATTCTATGACGTGGCTCTTGACACTGGAGACAAGGTGGTGCAGTGTGGCCGCCGTGTGGACTGTCTGAAGTTGTGGCTCATGTGGAAGGCACAGGGTGGGCAAGGACTGGAGCGGCGCATCGACCAGGCCTTTGCTCTCACCCGGTAGGTGTGGAAGGACCCCGGTGCTTGTCCTCTTCCAGTCTCCATTGTCTTCTTGGTACCTTCTTGGGTCTCCTGTTTCCCAGCCTCTGTCTTTCCCTCATGTGTGCTTTCTTACCCTCTTATTCCCAGGTACCTGGTGGAGGAGATAAAAAAGCGGGAAGGATTTGAGTTGGTCATGGAGGTAGGACTCCTGGATCCTTTGAATGCCTGCCCCCCATGAAGCCTCATAAAGGTCCAGGAGTGGAGACAGGGAACAACCCCTTCCTCAGCTCATGCCTTCTCATCCTCCCCTCAGCCTGAGTTTGTCAATGTGTGCTTCTGGTTTGTGCCTCCCAGCCTGCGGGGGAAGAAAGAGAGTCCAGATTACAGCAAAAGGCTGTCTCAGGTAGGCTTTGCCCTCTGGGTGACCTAATTCTGGGAACTAAGCCACTGGTGTATTTCTGCTCTCTGCTGGCTGTGCCTGGTATAGCATATCCCAGCCTCGCTCTTGAGACGGTAGGTGTAGGAGAGCACCCTCTTGCCTTCTCTTTGTGTGAGGTGCAGGTGCAGAGAAAGATAGGTTTCTGGAAAGTAAGGAGACAGAAGGGTGCTACCCGAGGAACTCACCAGTGTGTGGCACACAGGCGTCTGTGTGACCTATCAGGAGTAGCTTTGCCACTGAGATGGGGACAGAATCCAGAAAGATCATCCCACACATGCTTTTAGAGGCAGGGAGATATGCTATGTCCTCATTCCTAAGAATGGATTAGTGCTGGACACCTTAGTAACCTGGAGAGGCACCAGTGCCCTGCCTTCCTGGGCTGTCACTGTAGAAGGGAAATCATTTATTTATACTTGTGTTAGGTGTTTTTGTAAGTGACCACTGGATCACATGGCACAGGTCAAACTATGTCAGGCTAAAAGAGGAGAGAAGGTGCTGAGGATGAAGGCTTGAGATCCGGGAGGAGAAGTGCTGGCAGTCAGAGATGAGCCTGGTTGGAGATGTTCCTGGCTTCAGTTTTCTTGGAGAGAGGAAATGGTGGTAGAAGACAGAGGAGGTCACTCCCAGGTTGCGTGTAGTGGAAAAAGGTGTGAGCAGTAAGTCTGCTACTGAAGGTGGCAGGATGTGGGGAGACAGCTTTTGGATGGAGCCAGGTGGTCCAGGCAGCCAGACCAGCTGCTTCAGCGCTCCCTCCCTCCATTGGTCACAGGTGGCGCCTGTACTCAAGGAGCGCATGGTGAAGAAGGGCTCCATGATGATTGGCTACCAGCCCCATGGGACCCGGGCCAACTTCTTCCGGATGGTGGTGGCCAACCCCACACTGACCCAGGCTGATATAGACTTCCTTCTGTGTGAGCTGGAGCGTCTGGGCCAGGACCTGTGACCTGCTACCCCGCCCGCTCAGCCTCACCGAAGCTCTGCATAGCCTCCTGGGTTCTCAAAAGCAACCTTTGTAGGAAACAGTGGCCTTGGCTGTGTGCTTCCTCACACTAACTCTCCTAGCGAAGTACTTGCTATTAGGAGAGTGTTTAAATACACTACATTACATTTTTATGATACATGCTTTCATTAAGCTGGGTGTGGTGGCACACACTTTTAACCCCAGCAGTCGGATCTCTGAATTCAAGTCCAGCCTGGTCTACAGAGGAAGTTCCAAGACAGCCAAGGCTGTACAGAGAAAGCCTTATCTCAACAAACAAACAAAAACAAAAGAAGGAATATTCTTTTAATTAAAATTATATTTACAAAGAATTTTTATTAATATGAGGGAAATGGTATGATATTTTGAAAAAGCTGGATATGAGTTTTTATAATTGTGGTATCTGAGTTATGCTAAAAAAAAATACATAGGAAAATGCTGATGAATGGAACTGTGTCAAAGGTTGGCAGTTTTCCCTGGATGAGATAATAGGCAGTTTCTAAATCAAACCTCTTGGACCTTTTGTGCTTTTCCATTTTATTATGCAACAAATATTATATACTTCTGAAATAGGACAATAAAGCTGGCATTTCAATTATATTTTAATATGTTTTATTTCATTTTAATTTCCTTTTGTTTTATGTCCATTGGTGTTTTGCCTGCATGTATGTCTGTGTGAAGGTGTCAGATCCCCTGGAACTGGAGTTACAGATGGGTGTGAACTGCCATGTGGGTGCTGGGAATTGAACCTGGGTCCTCTGGAAGAGGTTCTTTTTTTTTTTAAGATTTTTTTTTTATTATGTATAAACATTCTGCTTCCATGTATATCTGCACACCAGAAGAGGGCACCAGAACTCATAACGGATGGGACCATGTGGTTGCTGGGAATTGAACTCAGGACTTCTGGAAGAGCAATCAGTGCTCTTAACCTCTGAGCCATCTCTCCAGCCCCAAGTAGGCAGTGCTCTTACCCACTGAGGCATCTCTCTAGCCCTGTTTGTATTTTTTTGAGACAGAGCTTCAAAAGTAAGTAGTCCCGGCTGGCCTCAAATTCACAAAGATCCGCCTGCTTTTGCCTTCCAAGTGCTGGGATTAAAGGCATGGGCCACCATGCCTGGCTTGACAGCATTTTTGCTTTTCCCAGATGACCCTAGCCTGTGTCAAGTGGTCAAAACTAACCAGGACAATATATGAGTCATTTTAAAGTGTACTTTGTGTATAGTATTTGTACATGTTTATGCCAGTATGGTGTGTGTGTGTGTGTGTGTGTGTGTGTAGGCCAGGAGAGACATTGGGCGGGCGGTCCCCCTTGATTGCACCCCACCTTATTTTTGTGAGAAAGTTATCTTCACTAAACCTGGGGTTCAGCTGGCTGGTCCACCTGTCTCCACGTCCCCAGCATAGAGGTTGCAGAAGTGTGCTGCCGCTCCCCGTTTTCATGTGGGTATCAAGGGTCCAAACTCCTGTCCTCATGCTTCCATGGCAGGCATTTACCAAAAAACCTTCTCCCCACTGGTTTCTAACACAGCCGCAGAGGCAAGTTGATAGAGGCTGAGACCACGGGCTAACCACCCTGGGGACCATCCAGCAGTTGATGTTACATTAAATATACTTTTAAGAACCCCTGTCCTCTCGGCTCCATACTCACTGTCCATTGCAGATGAGGACACATGTAAAATGTGGTACACGTGACAAATTCTGCACCAATATTGGTAGACACAGATAAATATATCAGCAGCATTGCTGATATACTTTTAAATACACTGACAAGTGAACTGTGATAAAAGTTACAGAATAAACAAATAAAAAACTATTCATTATTGGGGGTGGGTTGCATGCCACAATGCAATGAGGCCAGAGGACAACTTCCTGGAGTTGATTCTCTTCTACCTTTACATGGCTCCTGGGGATCAAACTCAGGCTGTCAAGATGGTGTGGCAAGTGATTTTATCTGCCATCTTGGAGGGTTAACCTACTTTGTATATATTTAAAAGGTTTAAGAAAGCACAAAAATTTTTAATACTTTTCTTTCAAGACTTCCAGACTTCCAATTTGTCAACATATGCCTTTTTTTTTTTTTTTTTTTTTTTTTGGTTTTTCGAGACAGGGTTTCTCCAAATTGCTTTGGAGGCTGTCCTGGAACTAGCTCTTGTAGACCAGGCTGGTCTCAAACTCACAGAGATCCACCTGCCTCTGCCTCCCAAGAGCTGGGATTAAAGGTGTGTGCCACTACCACCCAGCCCATAGGTCATTTTCTTAAGTTTCTTTTCTGTTGCTGTGGCAAAACTCCATGACCAAGGCAACTTATAAATGACTGCATTTAATTTGCAGCTCATAGTTCTAGAGGGTTATAAGGTTCATGACTGTCATGCAGGGAGTGTGGCAGCAGGCAGGAATGGCACTGGAGCAGTAGCTGAGAGCTTACAAATGATCCACAACCGGGAGGCAGAGAGAGAAGGCCAACCGGAGTGGGATAGGCTTTGGAACCTCAAAACTCATCCTCAAGTGACACACCTCCTCCAACAAGGCCACATCTCCTATTCCTTCCCAAACAGTCCTACCAACTGGGAACCAAGTATTCAAACATGAATCCATGAGGGCTGTTTTCATTCAAACTACCACACTCCTTCCATTTCTGTCTTAGGGTTACTAGTACTGTGGTAAACAACATTACCAAAAGCATCTTGGGGAAGAAAATGTTTGTTTCACTTACACTTCCAGGTAATAGTCCATCACTGAGAGAAGTCAGGGCAGGCAGGTACCTGGGGGCAGGGACTGAAGCAGAGGCCATGGAGGAGTGCTGCTTACTGACTTGCTCCTCATGCCTTATTCAGCCTGCTTTCTTATAGCCCCAGGACCATCATCAGCCCAGGGGTGACATCAATCACTAATTAAGAAAATACCCTACAGGCTTGCCAGCAAACCGTTTGTATGGAGGGATTTTCTCACTTGAAGTTCCCTTTCAGATGTCAGCTTGTGTCAAGTTGAGATAAAACTATCCAGAGTACAGTTATGTATTAGAGTGGGTCTCTATAATGGGAAGGTCAGTAAGAGATTGACTATAGTCAGTATCCCATGATAGAATAGGAGAGGCCCTTCGTAGACTCAAAGCCATACAATGGTGAACAGTCATGAGCAGACAGCTAAAGGGATCACAGATAATTCTAGAAGTTTGGTCATGGTGGAGAAGAGGGTCAGGAGAGGAGGAGGTAGAGATAGGAGATATGGGGGGGTTATCTATGTGCTGGTGGGAGCAATTTGCCGGAAAAAATAGGGTGAGTGGTTATTTGAATCTAGGAGGAGATGGCCTTTCAATTCCTTCTAGTCAGAAGTAGGCAAACCTGTAGACTAGGTCGGATAGTGGGAGGAAAGAACCTTGGTCCCACCCACCACAACCCATTGTTATCCAGGCCTGCTTGGTTTATGCCCCATATGGGATTTACTGTTGTTGTTGTTTTTTCTTTTTTAAAATTTTTATTTATTTTATTCTATGTATGAGTTCTCTGTGTGTATGTCTGCATGCCAGAAGAGGGTATCAGATCCTATTATAAGTGGTTGTGAGCCACCATGTGGTTGCTGGGAATTGAACTCAGGACCAGCCAGTCCTCTTAACCTCTGAGCCATCTCTCCAGCCCCGTTTTGTTTTTTTAATCTAAGTTGTTCTATTTAACAGTAAAGACTCAGGAGTCAGATATTGGGATGAAACCCTGCTAGATCAGAGAAGCCAAGAAGAAACTAGGTGACCTTTCTTTTTGGCTAGAGACTTTGCAAGAGAGCATCTCTCCACTTGTTACAAACCAAGAAAGATGGAGAATCTCTAAGTCCCTCCCTACTCCTTCCTGTCCATCCATCCAGCCTCAAAAGCAATAGTTTCTTTTCTTTTTTCTTCCTTTTTTAATTTATTTTTTTTGTTTGTTTGTTTGTTTTGGTTTTTCGAGACAGGGTTTCTCTGTGTAGCTTTGGAGCCTGTCCTGGCACTTGCTCTGGAGACCAGGCTGGCCTCGACCTCCTAGAGATCCGCCTGCCTCTGCCTCCCAAGTGCTGGGATTAAAGGCGTGCACCGCCAACGCCCAGCCCGGCTTAAATTTTTAATTTTAATATTTATTCATTTATTTGAGACAGGGTTTCTGTGTGTAACAGCCCTGGCTGCCCTGGAATTCACACTGTAGTCCAGGCTGGCCTCGAACTCACAGAGATCTGCCTCCTGAGTGTTAGGATTAAAGGCATGTGCCACCCACCGAGGCAAGCAATAGTTCTTAAAGTGTGGTCCCTAGATCAGCAATTTTGCCTAGCCCTGCATACTCATTAGAAATGTAAGTTCTGAAATCAGAAACTCTTGGATTGAAGTTGGGATGAAAAAAAAGTCCAACACAATATTAACGAGTCCCAGAATGGTTCTTCAGGCTTGAGAGTTCCTATTCAATGAGAATTTCCATCCTTTCCCACGCGGGTCTCCAAACACCTGTCCTTAGCCACATCCCTGCTGATGCCAGTAGTGAGTGAGTACAGGTGAGGGCTTGATCTCAGGGTTAGTGGAGAGAAGGCCTGCTGTGAACAGCTATGTGCAGTTTTGTTATTGTCATTGACCTTTGGAAACTGTGAGAAGTGGTCAGGGCCATGGGCATATTTGGGCATATTGGAAGAGAGTGACTCAGAATTGTAGCTCTGTAGAGATGCAGTTGCTGTGACTTCTGACCCCTAGAAAGCGTAGGGACCACCCAGGAGAAGTGTCTGGCTGCTTAAGAAGCAGTCAGGACCACTTAAATATATCCAAGTTGTGTGCAAAAACAAAACCAAGGCCAAGACCCCAAACTCCATCACTTTCTGGAAATAAAATGGCTATTTTGAACAGTAGCAAAAAAAAAACAAAAAAAAAAAACAGTATATGTACTGAAAGAATGGTTACTGGCAAGACTCAAGTCAGTGGCTTGGATGAACAAGTGGAAAAAATATTTCAAAGCACAGAACAAATATGAGGAAATGGAAATAATTAGAAAAATACCAATAGCCCTGATGCTGAATTGTTCTGGCTCCAGAAGAAGAAAAGGAGGAGTTGAGGAAAGACAACAATTACAGAGTAGGAAAATACCTTGCTGACCCAGAGAAAGACCCAAACTTACAGATTGGAAGGACACAGAAGAGAAAAGAAAGCAGAAACACGTAGACAGGAAACACCTTGATTCTGAGGTCGTCCAGGTTCTAGACAGAACAAGTTATTGGCAATGGGAAATGGATCAGCTTGGCAAAGAACACTGCAAGTGGCAAACCGAAAAGCAAGGGTACCCAGACTCTCACACAGTGGAAAAGGCGTTCACTTGCCAAGGCAAAAGAAAAGTATCTGGGACCAAGCTTGACAGCTTGAGTAACAGTTCAGTCCCTGGGACCCACATGGTAGGAAAGATTGGGCTCTGTAAAATGTCCTCTAACAGCTGGGCAGTGGTGGCGCACGCCTTTGATCCTAGCACTTGGGAGTCAGAGGCAGGCAGATCTCTGTGAGTTCAAGGCCAGCCTGGTCTACAGAGCAAGTTCCAGGACAGGCTCCAAAGCTACACAGAGAAACCCTGTCTCAAAAAGAAAAAAAAAAGGTAGATAGATAATTAAGAATA